CCCTCCGCCCTCCCTCCCTCCCTCTCTCTCCCTCCCTGCCTCACTCCCTCCCTCCCTCCCTCCCTTCCTTCCCTCCCTCCCTCCCTCCTTCCTGCCTTCCCTCCTGTCTGCCTTCCTTCCCTCCTTCCGTCCCTCCCTCCGTCCCTCCTTCCCTCCTCCTCCTCCTCCTTCCTTGCGTCCCTCCTTCCCTCCTTCCCTCCGCCCTCCGCCCTCCGAGCCAGGCCGGGCCGGGCCGGCGCGGGCCTCCGCCCTCCGCAGGCCCTCCTCCGCCCGGCCGCTGCCCCGCTCTACCAGGGCGGCCAGGCCGCGGCCGCCGCCCGAGGCCTGCGCGGCGAGGGGGGGCGGGGGGCCGCGGGCGGACGGGGCGGCGGCGAGTAGCAGCAGGAGGAGGGGAGGGAGGAGGGAGGGGGAGGGAGGAGAGGAGGAGGGGAGGGAGGAGGAAGGGGCGGAGGAGGAAGGGGCGGAGGAGGGAGGAGGGAGGCATGGGGGAGGGGGGGGGGGAGGGAGGGAGGAAGGAGGGAGGTGGGGAGGGAGGAGGAGGAGGAGGAGGAGGAGGAGGATGAGGAGGAGGAGGAGGAGGAGGAGGAGGATGGAGGGAGGAGGGAGGAGGAGGAAGAAGCCTGCTGGGAGGCCCTCGTGAACCTCGCCAGGGGCGTTGAGCTTGTCCAGCAGCGCCGGACGGAGCGGAGAGAGGGAGAGAACACGGAGGAGGACGAGACGGAGCAGGGAGACGATCGGAGGGAGGAGGCACAGGGGGAGGGAGGGGGAGGAGAGTACAGGGGGAGGACGGGCAATGGGTAGTGATCTCTTCCCCCCCAAGGCCCGAAGGTATCCATATCCACCGTATCCGCCAGATCCACCGTATCCGCCGCCTGCCGAGGTCCCAGAAGATGGATCCCCCAGGCGGTGGTGATGATTAAATCCCCGCCTGGGGAAGGCGCCTCCATCTCTTGGCGCCATTTGAAAGGGCCCTGGGTTCACCTGGCCGCCTATGGAAAGCCGGAACTCAAAACATGTACCGTCTCACTTGTACTTCCGCCACCCTCCGCCGACAATCCGCCGGCGGAATCACCCCAAGTTTGCTTCCGCGCCATCCCCAGACATCCGATGTACAGTAGGAGCTCGACCACAAGAAACCTTTCACAAGAAACCCAACCCTGGGGATGCTCGACGGGCACCTGGCACGCCTGGGACGAAGGACAGGCCACGATTTACGAAGGGGCCCAGGGACACACAGATAAATACACACACATCCCAGGACCCCCCATATGTTTTCATTCTGTGGGGGGGATGTTCGTCTTCCCCCCCCATCTCCCATGTTTTCCCATGCTTTCTAGGGAATCGACAGTTGATTGGCGGTTGACGCGTATCTAGCGTATCCCGATTCTAGGGAATCGACAGTTGATGGTGTCTGTGTTTTTTTCCCCTCCTGACCATAGTGCACCAGACGCATTTGGCATGGGCCTCGCAGATATGCACACGTGAGGCACGCCGGCGAGCTCGCAGATGGATCTGCCGTCCCCCCTCCCTCTTGGCCCTCCTCCCCCCCACGAAGGAGGAGGAGGAGGAGGAGGGCGAGGGGGAGGAGGAGGAGGCGGAGGAGGAGGAGGAGGAGGAGGAAGAGGAGAGGGAGGATGAGGTGGAGGAGGAGGAGGACATCCGATGTCCTGATTTGTTCCATACAGGGCAAGATCGCCCAGAATCGGATCGATCAGTCGGATCGTCGATTGGCATGAATCGGAACGGCGGGCATCGGCAGCCAGGTCGGGAGGTGACGAATCGACAGACATTGGCAGGCTAGTGGGCCGCCACTGCGAAATCGGAACCCGAATCGGAATCCGAAGCCGAATCGAATCGGCATCGGCACCCATCGACGTCGACATCGGATGGAAGGACTGGAAACGAGCTCTGCAGGGTAGGCTTTTGTCGGCCCTGGGGCACAGGAGGCCGACAGCTGCCAAACGTCCAAGCGACCTGCTTCCTCACTCGCGGGCGGGGATGTCCCGCAAGCCCCCCCGGGCAGGCTGCGGATTCACAGCCCAACTCAGGGCTGAACCTAAACGGTGTTTTTCGCTTTCATTTTGTCTTCGTTTTCCCTCGTTGTGTCTTCGATTCGCCTTTACCGCAAAACGAAATCGAAACGAAAACGGCCCACGAAATCGCCAAAACACCGTTTAGGTCCAGCCCTGCCACAACTTCCTGAGCCCGGGGTCAAGGCCGACCCTGTTCCCCCAGAGTCTTTCCGGGGGTCCCTGGAGGTGGCCAGGGGTTCCTGAAGACACCCCACTCTCGACTCCCGGACCTCGGGCCCCGATCCTCGACGGCGACGGCGGCGACGAGGACGATGCTGATGAAGACGACGACGACGACGACGACGACGACGACGACGACGACGACGACGACGACAACTGGCGTGAACAACTACGCTCTGAGCGCCAGGCAGTGGGACGCGCAGCGACTTGGAGGCGCGCGTCAGACCCGAACATCTAGTATGCCCATCTTAAAGTATATCGTTTCCCGAGCGGTGTGGCCAGGAAGCGCCCGCCACGACGCATAAGCTGTGAGATTTCTCGGTACGCACGTCGCCCATTGGGGGGGGGAGAGACGCACACATCGCATTAGTATTTTTGGGGACGGCGCCGAGGCAGAGCGGCCTGACAGCTCTGCCAGCTTCCCTGGAGGTCCGACGTCTTAACTTTTCAATGCGGGGTCCCCCCCAGAAGTCCCGACCATTTCCTCAGGGCGTTTTTGTTGTATCCCGAGTCGTTCTGAAATGTCCTGGGGCTCCGCGCAGCGCCCCCGATCCCGAAAGCGGCGAAGCACCTGCGATCTCATTTTTCTGTTACTGGTGCAACAAACAACGTCATAAGATAAAAAAACCAGAGGTCCGCGCAAATTTTTCGGATCGGCGTTGGGCCCCCCTCCCTGGCGCGCGGAGCGCGCTGGGGGCGGCGACGAAGTCGCCGCCAGGCGGCCTCAGCGCCGATCCGAGGAATCCGCGCGGGCCTCCGAGATGTTACGCGTATCCTATTGCTTGTTCCCCTAATTACGGCGGGTTCGTACGGCGTCGGCGCGCGCAAAGGTTTTTAACACCGAATCGATCGTTCAACCTTGAATCGATCGCGGCCCCGATCGTTCAAGGTGCTCTCGCGTTGCTTTTTCCATCGGTGCTCCCGCGTCGCAGAATTCAACCTTCAACGCCTTTGCCGGCTTCACCGGCGCGCCGATGCCGCGTGAACCTACCGTACGTTACAGTTCTGGGTCGTCGTTAGGAGCGGCGACGGTGGCGTCGACGCACGCGGCGACAATGGCGGGAGCCGCCGCCGACCAGCTGGCGACAGCGTATAGGTACACAAAATGCTTCGCCACACACACACACACACACCTGGCCCCCTCTCTACAGGCGGATTTGCATGCATCGCTAGCCGCATCCAAGATGCATCGCTAGAGCGGAACGATCCACCCACGCCACCTAATTACTCGGACTGCGGGCCCTACAATCGGCGGCGAGCCCGGGGGTGAAGTGAGCAGGGGCGGGCCTTTGCAGAAGGCTCGGAAGTCCCCCGGCCTTCTGAGAAGTTTCCGGAGCCTCCCCCCAGGACACAACAGAACTCTCGTCAGAAGGCGCGAGGACCTCCGAGAAGCCCCGCCGCCTTCTGCGAAGGCCTCCTCCCTCTCGCTTCCCCCCCCCCCGCTGGGCGCCGCCAAACTTGGTTTTGGGGTCATAACTCGGGTCTCTGGCGGCCGTTCGGGACGATACGGGCACCCCGGGGACGCCCTCGGCGAGGCGCAGCTGCTGCCGACCATCCCGAAGCTGGAAAACCGCCGAGAACCAACAAAAACGTAAAACACCAACAACAACAAAAAACAACCCGCACATCCAACCCGAAACTTCCCCCCCCCCCTCGCTCGCCGCCGAAGCCAAGCACACGCCCCTGACCGCGGGGCCCGCCCGACCCCGCCCCCGCCGCGGCGGCCTGCCGCCCCGCAGCGCCGCGATCGCCCTGCCGCGCCGAGGGGCCGAAGGAGGGCGGCGGCCCCTCCGCGGCCGGGCGGCCAGAGGCCTGCTGGTGGCCTCGGTGCGGCGGGCCGGCCGGCCCGCTGGGGGCGGCCGGGCCGTGCTGCAATGCTGGCGGAGCGCACAGGAGGGGGCAGGGGGAGGAGAAGGCTTCTTATTATATACCCAGACCTGCTCTCGTCGTAACAAGAAGTCGAGGCTGGAGGTTTGGGGCTATTTTCGACCTCGGGGAGCCCTCGCCAGGCCTCGGGACCGCCAAGAAACGGCTCAGGTCGAAAAACCGGTCCCGGGGAAGGGGTCGGGACTTCCAGGGACGCCGTCCTCAAAAAATCAGGACGTCGCATGTCTGGGAAGGCTTCTTAGAAGGAAACTGCTCCGAAGGCGCTGGCCTCACATCTACAGAGGAGGCCCGCGCCCTCGTAGGAGCAGCCTCCTTCTATAAGAAGCCTTTCCCCCTTCCGCCTACTGAGTGAGCGAAGACATATGAACATGTACGCCCTCCGCGCTCCAGCGTGCACGAGGGACTGCGTTCGAACGCAGACCAACGGAAGCTGACGGCGCACATGTACATCTGTTGTTGGCCCCGTACCTATCCCCTCTTTCAGGGCCCTGTGCACCCCGACATGATAGACCCAGTCACCCAACACCCCTGAAAACCAATCTTTCCAAAAATACTGCACTGCAGCCTTTCCAGAATAAATCCGGACACTGACCTTAAGCCTGCAAGACCCCCCAAACCCGGACACAAACCCGAATCATGCAGCGCAGCAAACAAACAAATCACGGGTACTGGAAATTGTAACCAAAGCAGGAACGGGTGTCGTTTCCTTGGTTTCCCGTGTCCTGGTTGTCTTGGTCTCCGGGGGGCCTGATCTTTGAGCGTGGCCGACCTTGGAGCGCGTTTCCTTCTGTTCGGCGATGACGGGCGTCATGGGGGGGGGCCGGGGAGGATATGACGCAACGCCCCCCCTCGCCGTGTGGCTCCAGCACCACAGCCGCGCCCGCGCGCACGACGCGACGAGCGACGAGCGACGACGACGACGACGACGCGAGCAGCATGTAGGTGGCGATCTGCCCCACTGCGCCTGTGTACCCCGCAACGCTCGCGTGCACCACACCGCGCGTGTACACCACAGCGCCTGCGTACACCGCAACAACCGTGTGCAACGCAGCGCCTGTGTACACCACAATGCTTGCGTACACTACAACGCCGGTGTACATGTGTAAACCGCAGCAACCATGTGCAACACAGCGCGTGTGTATACCACAATGCTTGCGTGCACCGCAGCGCCTGTGCACGCCACAACGCCTGTCTACACCACAGCATCCGCGTGCAACGCAGCGCTGGTGTACACCACAACGCCTGCGTGCATAGGACAAGTAGAAGGAACATGTCCGTGAGGGTATGATGGGGACAACTAAACGCCACGCCCGGAAAGTACCGATAATCGAGTGCGACGTGTTTCCCTCCTCCCTCCTCCTCCACCTCCACCTCCACGTCCACCTCCTCCTCCTCCTTTTCCTTCTGCTGCTGCTGCTGCTGCTCCTCCTCCTCCTCCTCCTCCTCCTCCTCCAACTCCTCCTCATTATTTTCCCCCTGCGCTACAGCGGACGTGCGCATCTCAGCGTGCACCGCAGAATGGTCGATTGAATCGGTCCACTTGGTTCTCGGACGGCCAATTTAGCTGGAACTTCTTGGACGCAGATGGGAGAAGTTAGGGTGATACGGGCGGACTCGGGAGGACTCGCAGATTCCAGCGGCGCTCCTTTGTCCATTAATATTAGTTTTTGTTGTTTTCTGTGCGCTCCATTTTGTCACAGGGATTCCGTCTAACATTCTATATACAACAGTGGTGCTGTGTTGCACACGATCGCTGTGTTGCACACAGGCGCCGTGGTGCACACAGGCACTGCAACGCACGCAGGCATTGTGTACACTGGTGTTGTGTTGCACACGGCTGATGTGGTGTACGCAGGCGCTGTTGTGTACACAAGAGCTGTTGTGCCCGAAGGCACGGTGGCACAAACTGGCGCTGTGTTGCACGCGGCTGCTGTGGTGCACATAGGTGGTGTGTACACAAGCGCTGTGGTGCACGCAGGCACTGTGTACACTTTTTTAACCTGCGCGAAGGAGCCCAGTGGCACGACGGACGACGGACGAACGAAGGACGACGACGAACAACGACCAGGGAGCACGCGAGGGGGGAGGGGCGAAAGGGGAAAAGGGGAGGAGGGCCAAGGGGGGGCGTCCGCGCGCGCAACGCCAGCCCCTCACAGCCCGGGCGCGGCACCGCCGGCCCCTCCGCGGGCCCCGGTCTTGTGAGGCCCTGGCGCGGGCAGGCCTAGGCCGGCCTGGCCAGCCCAGCAGCCGGGGGAGCTGCCTGCAGCAGCCGCCACCTCTCTGTGGCCGCCTCCGCGTCGCGGGCGACCAGCGCCGCAGCGGCGTCGAGGAGCGCGACCCGCGCCCCCCGGAAGCTGCGGCCGCGCAGGGTGACACCCAGCAGCGGCGCCAACTCCCGCGCGGCGGCCCAGCCGCCCGCCAGACGGCCGCGGATCGCCTCGAGGAGCTCGTCGCGGGCGAGGGCGACCACATCGGCCGGCGCCGGCTGCTCGCCAGCCGCCGCGCGGGGCCAGCATGAGCGGCGCCTTGACCGCCTCCCCGGGACCGGCTGCCAGCCGTCCTCGAGAGGCACCTCCACCGGCTCTGAGCCCGGAGGGGACACGACCTCAGCCGCGGCCGACGGGGGAACGTCGGCGGCCAGCAGCGGCGGGCCCCGTGCGGCGGCCGAGGGCTGGACCGCCGCGGAGCGATCCACCTCGACCGGATCCGGCTCAGCCAAGAGGCGGGCCGAGACGCGTCCGGGAGGAGAGCAGCAGGGGCTGGGGACCAGCCGCCCCACCGCTGAAGGCAGAGGCGCGCCAGCGTCTCCTCGCTGCTGGCCACCGGAACCAACTCGACCTGCGGCGGATCCGCATCGCGCGAGCCCACGGGGAGCCTGACAGCGTCACCGCCCGGGGAGGGGGGCGGGGTCCGCCCCGGAGGGCGGGGGCGCCGCCCCGCCGCGCCGCTCCCGCCTCGCCCCGCCGCACGGGCCCCGGGTCCGGGAAGAATCACCTCGACCGGTCCGGGAGGAGACACCTCCACCGGAGAAACATCGAGCGGCCGTCGCGCGCATGGGGCCTCCCACAGCGCCACCAACTGCTGGACCTTCCCTGCCCGCCCAGACGCCGAGGCTGGCTGGTGGGACCTGAGTGGCGCGAAGCCGACGCCAGGCTGGCCGACCCCGCGGCCGTCGCGGGAGCTCGCGGGCAAGCGAGGACATCTGCCTCTTCGAGCTCTTCCTCATCGTCCGCGTCCGCCCAGGGCTCTCGCGGAGCAACGGGCTTCGCAGGACACCGCGACGCGGGAGGCGCAAGCGCGGGCGCCAGAATGGCGCGGCCAGGCGCCTCGCTGCTGCTGCTGCTGCTGCCGCTGCTGCCGCCCGCACTGCTCGGGGGGTCCGCGCGGCGGCGGCGCCGACCATGGCGCCGGCCACCATCGAGGCGGCCCCCACCGCTGCCACCTGCCGCGTCCCTGCTGGAGGCGCCGCCACTCCCGCAGCCGTGGGACGCCGGTCCCTGGGGTCTCATGTCCACCGCAGGCGCCGGCACCGTGTACACAGGCGTTGTGGTGCAGATCGCCACCTACATGCTGGTGCTACCCGTCCTCCGTCATTATTAGAAGCATTCCCAAACGCCGCCAGCGCGAAACGTGACGTCATCGACCCCCCCCCCAGATGAGTGCCGCCATCGGCCCGGAATAAAAAACAGGCTCCAGAGCGACGAGCGACGAGCGACGAGTCACGAGCGACGACGACGACGACGACGACGACGACGACGACGACGACGACGACGACTGCGGACCCGACCCATATGCGGATTCCTACGCGGATCCCAATGCGCACGGCGGCAGTGCCTGGATCTCACTGGGGGGGGGGGCGTTACGTCATAGGGAGGGGGCGAAGCGGGGGCCATGACGCCCCTCGTGCCCAAGCAATACAGAAGTGCGCTCTTGGCAGTCGCCCCTGGAGGCCTCGAACGAACCCGGGAGTCTTAAGTCCGCGGGCGCCGGGCGCCGAGTGGTCCAAGACAGTCAGACGCTGGTCAGCGAGCGGTGGGGTGAACCGGGAGCGAACTGGGGCACGAGAGGGAAAAGCTGAGAGCGAACAAGATCCCAGACGCTCAGCTCTAAGCTGTGTGTCAGAGACAGCACCCATGTGAGCGTCGATCGGAAGCGGGTCTTACGCGAGATGGTGTAACGACCTTACGCCGCGGCTTACGCGGGCCGCCAGCGCGGCACGCCACACTGGAAACGAGGGTGTTCACGCGCGACCTTACGCGGGCCACTTACGCGCCAACGTCGCGAAGGCGACCCCATTTTTCGACGTCGTTCACGTAGCCTCGTCTCTATTGGGGGGGGGGCCAAAACTGTGTCCGAAAACCTGCCTCAGGGTGATCGAAACTGGCGTCCGTTTCTTCTCCGACCGCGCCCGAGTCTGACCAAAGTGCTTGGCCCGAATCCGAAGCGATTTTCCAGTTTCGGTCGCAATTCCTGTCACACTAAGATTATGGTCGCGATCATCTCTTTTTTGTCGGTCACACTCCTGTTCGGCTGATAGGGACCCGGCGTCATGACAACACCCAACACGTAGCGACCTGGGACCTGGAGGCAATTAAGTCTTCAGACGCTGCCAAGTTGCCTCCGCCTCCTCCTCATCATCTTCATTCTTCCCCTCCTCCTCCTCCTCCTCCTCCGCCTCCTCCTCACCATCATCAACAGCATCACATTCCTCATCATTACCACCACCATCATTATCAACATCCTCACCACCATCACCATAATCAGTTTCATCACCATCGTCATTAGTATCATCATCATCATCATCATCATCATCATCATCATCATCATCATCATCATCATCATCATCATCATCATCATCATCATCATAATCATCATCATCATCATCAGCAGCAGCAGCAGCATCAGCATCAGTATCATAATGATCATCATCATCATCACCACCAGCACCATCATCACCATCGTCATCATCATCATCATCATCATCATCATCATCATCATCATCATCATCATCATCATCATCATTAGCATCATCAGCATCATCATCACTGCCACCAACACCATAATAATAATGATAATAATAATAATAATCATCATCATCCTCATCATCATCGGCATCATCATTAGCATCATAAGCATCATCAGCATCGTCGTCGTCATCAGCTGCAGCATCAACAGTATCACCATCAACAGCACCAACATCATCATCACCAGCAGCATCGTCAGCATCAGCAGCATCGTCGATATCACCATCATCATCACCATGATCATAACCAACATCATCAGCATCGACATCATCATCATCAGCAGCATCCTCAACATGAACAGCATCGCAATCATCATCATCAGCATCATCATCACCATTAGCATTCGCATTAGCATTATCATCCACATCATTAGCATCATCACCACCACCAGTGGCATCAGCATCAGCATCAGCAGCATCAGCATTAGCATCGGCATCGACCACAAAATGATCATCGTCATCATCACCATCACCATCACCATCACCATCATCATCATCATCATCATCATCATCATCATCATCAGAAGCAGCAGCATCATCACGTACCCCCGTCATCAGCTACTCCCCACCAGCTCCCGGCCAGTTCCCCCTCCCAAAACAACCGCTCCCTACCCCGCCCCCTCCCACCCTCCTGGCCTCTTCCGCTCACTCCCACCCCACCAAGGCGGCGGGGGAGAAGTTAAAGCGAGCTCGCTCGAATTCTCTGGCAAGGCGATGCGCCTCCTCGCATCTCTCCAGCGCTCCTCCCCTTATCCCCACACTCCGAGCAGGCTCTTCTGCGATCCCCCGATCAATTAGGGCCCTACCCAGACATCTTAGGCCTTGACTGCCTGAATACGGGACCCGACCTCTCGAGACCTCCCCCGAGGAGGGAGGAGAAGGAGGAGAACGAGGAGGAGGAGGAGGAGGAGGAGGAGGAGAAGAAGGAGAAGGGAGGAGGAGGAGGAAGATGAGGAGGAGGAGGAGGAGGAAGAGGAGGAGGAGGGAGCGGGAGGAGGAGGACCTGCTTCTCATGCCCGACACGTTTTTTCCCCAGAGCGACGCCCAGCCGGCGCAGACGGCGAAACGCCTCCGCCGGCAACTCGTTCCTCAAAAACGCCAGAAACCTGCGCACAGAGGATTGCAAAAAAACAGGATTGCAAAAACGAAGGATTGCAAAAAAAAAAACCCGAAGGATTGCAAAAAAAAAAACCGAAGGATTGCAAAAACGAAGGATTGCAACCCTTCGTTGCAATCCTCCGCCTCCCCGAGGGGCGCCGGGCGGCGGGCGGTGGGCGCCGGGCAGCTTGAAGGACTTCGGCGGAGGCTGCGGGGGCGGCAGCGGCGGGGCGTCGGGCTCCTCCTTCGGAGGCGCGACCTGAGCGGGGCGGCTGCTGCTCGGTTGGCGTGCTGCTCTGTAGGAGGCCCGCCTGCCGGCAACCAGTCGTCAGTGGTCACGTCGGATTTTGCCCCCGTCTGGCGAGATCTGCTCTGCCCTGCTTCTGTCACCTGTCCTTCCTCCTCCTCCTCACCGCCATCTGTGCGCTCGTTCTTGGGCTCATCGGGCCTGATGGCAGACTCCTTCGGGAAGGCGTATCAGGCTCCCTCCTCCCCCCCTTCGGGGGCGCACAAACATGGATTAGCGATCCATGGATTTGGCGCGCGGTCGCCGAATCCATGGATCGCGGGAGGTGCCCTCCGCAAAATGCGGCCGGTGCCGCCTCGTTCGGCGGCGGAAATCCGCGATTTACCATGGAGACGGGACCCGTCGCTAATCCACGCCCCCTTGCTCCATGTTTGCGATCGCCTGAGTAATAGGCTCCCTCCTCCCACCCTCACCGCCCCCATGTTCTTCCCCTTCTTCTCGAGGGAGGGCGGCGCCTGCTGCATGGCGCCAGCCAGGCCGACGAACAGCACCCCGAGGGAGTTGGAGAGGCTCTCGAGGAGGGGGAACTGCGAGTCACACGCGTCGGGAGATGGCCTATCAGTCGTCCTCCTCCTCCTCCTCCTCCTCCTCCGCCTCCTCCTCATCCTCCCTCCTTCTCCTCCTGCTCCTCCCGGTCCGCCTCCTCCTCCTCCTGCTCCTCCGCCTCCTCCTCCTCCTCCTCCTCCTCCTCCTCCTCCTCCTCCGCTCCTCCTCCTCCTCCTCCTCCCCTCCTCCTCCTCCCCTCCTCCTCCTCCTCCTCGCTCCTCCTTTCCCTTATCCTCCTCCTCCTCCTCCTCCTCCTCCTCCTCCTCCTCCCTGCCCTACCTCCTCCTCCTCCCTACCTCCTCCTCCTCCCCCCTCCCCATCCCCTCGCCCCCCCGGCGGCCTCTGCCGCCCGGACGACGTCCCCGCCCGCTGGGAGCCCGCGGGCCCCTGGCTCGCCGAGCGCCGCGGGCCGGCCCCCTGGCTCGTGCCGCGCTGGCGGCGGCCGGAGGGCGTGGCGTGCACGGGCGGCCGCGCCGCGAAGCAGCGCTGGAGGACCTCCGCGAGCTCGCCGAGCGTGGACGACCGCTCATTCCTCGCGCGCGGGGCCCGGGGGCGGGCCCGGGACGGGGCTCGCAGGAAAGGACGTCCAGGTTCTGTCCTCTCGCCATCGCTCGGACGTCCATTCCCTGTGTTTTTTTCGGTTTCGTGCGTGGTTGTTTCGCCAAATGGTCAAGGATGTTCCTCGATGGTCCTCGCCGAAAGAAAAATGCACACGTCCGAGCGATGCCAAGGTCCTGGAGAGCCCTCGTCGGCACGGCTCGATTCTCCTCGGAATTCTGGTCAGGCCGCGCTCCGGGAGAGGCTTTGGGGAGCGCAGGTATTGGTATCGGTTTGCCCCCCCAAATTCCAGTCGCTGAGGTACTGCACGTGGATGAGGCCGCCCCTGTTGGGGGACGCCAGCGCCAACTATACGCCGGCACCTGGTCCGGCCCGGACCCTTCGACAGGCCCAGGATCGGCGCAAGCGCCCCGTGGTTCGGCCACGCCGGGGAGGCATATGCACTGATCCTGGGCCAGGGATGGGGCGTGCCCAGGATCGGTGTATGCAGTGGGCGCAGCTGTCGTCGCCCGACCTGTCCACGTGCGGGTGGGATGCTTTCAGCTCCATGCCGTCGGTGGGCGTCACGAAGCACCGAGGGGGTTGCCGCGGGTACGGGGGGTCGAAATAAATGGTGACCGGAATGTGGTACAGATTGCCCTCGTAAGTGATGGGCAGCACCCCGAACAAATAGAACAGCGTGACCTGGCGGCCACCGCCCTCGAAGGCCTGCAGCTTGGGCTGCAGCGTGTGAACGGAGCGCAACAGCCCGGTCACGTCGTCCCGCAGCCTGTCCTTGTTCTGGTACTTGCTCGGAACCTGCTGCAACACCTCCCCCAGCTTGGCGATCCTTTATTAGCGGGGAAAGCATGTGTTAGCCACCGTGCGAGCCTGACAATTTGTTTCTACCAGTCCATGATGTGCGATATATTTGGTGCGATCTACGTGCGAAGTGCATGTTGCGTGCCATATATACGTTGTGCAATCTATCGGGTGCAAACGAATTTCTTTTCGCACTGGGTTGTCAACCCCACTGCTCGGTCAGACATCCCACCCACCCACATGCACCCTGGCTTTCAAAACCCATGCGGCGGCGTTTGCGATGAGTGCCGGGAGTTGGCTGGTGCATCTCTGCGACCGCGCTAGCCTGCGCATGCTCGCGCGAGCGCATCGTCCAGATAGTTTGGCACTGCCAGCGCGGCCGTGGTGGCGCTGACAGCTGGGCACTTCTCAACGGGCACTTCAATACGAGTCGGCGACTGGGGCGGGCGCGGTATCATGGCAACGTCGCCGGCGGTAGACGCGATGACGATGTCAGCGATGATGGTTACGATGTTGACACCGACTACGGCAAGGCCAGTGACGGCGCCGATGCGGGTCACGCCGACGACGATGACGTCGCCCTGGCGTCGGTGATGAAAATTTTGGAAAGAGTTCGTCATGCGCTCTCGGCCGACGCGCGAGGGTTGCATCCATGGTCTCATTTGAAACGGATCGCGCCCCCCCCCCCCCCCCAACACGCGCGCAAGTGCGTTCGACTGATTTCGACGTGAGGCGCGAGGGGCCCGCGTGTCATCATTAAAGAAACTGATGGTTCCCGTAAGAGTTCGCAGGAGCGCGAGCGCAGTTTTTTGTTTGAAGATTGATGTTTCAAAACCATGTGCGCATGGTTTCGGGACACTCAATATCGAAATCGCCACGCACGAAACATTGGGACTGTGAAGATTCTTGAATGCGCGTGCGACGACGCTCGCGCGCGAACTTCGTCTAAACGTTTGCAAGGGATATGTGCGACAGCACGCGCGCAAAGGCGTTCGAGCGATTCCGATATGCTCGCGCGAGAGCCCCGCTTGGTATGCAAATTAAGACATGTTAGAAACGTAGGTTGGGCGTCAAGGATTCGCAAGAGCCCGGGAACAAACTGTTTGGGAGAACCCGTGCTGCGAAACCATGTGTTCTTGCATGTTCTCGGGGGGCTCGTCTTTGAAATCCTTGTGTGAAATCCGATCGGTGAAAAATGTCGCCACGCGCGCGCCACAGCGCGCGCGTGCGCTTCGCCCCGTTCTTTGCAAAAATAATATTGACGAGCGCGCGCGCGTAAGTAAGTAATGCGCATGCAAAAAACAAAAGGGGACGACAACGGCCTGCCTGGGATGGCTCGACCTCATACTTCGGATGGGCGATGGGGCAGAATCATACGGAAATTGCCGCACGAAAAGAAGGGCAGTTCATTCCGGGAGGCGGGGGGGGATCCTAATAGTCTCCCACGAGAGGGAATCAATGTAGTGCAGTGAGTGTTAAGCTTGAAAATGACAACTCCACTGCTGGCGAAATCGCCCCACGCGCCCACCCGCACCTTGGTTTGCAAAGCCCGCGCGACGGCGATTGCGGAGTGCGCGCGGGGTTAGCTGGCGCATCTCTGCGACCGCGCTAGCCCGCGCACGCACGCGCGCGCAGCGGCCAGGTAGGTCGGCGCTGCCAACGCGGCCGCGGTGGCGCTGACAATTGGGTATTTCCCAGCGGGCATTTCAATGCGAATCGGTGACGTGGCCGGGCCGGGCGCGGTGTCGCGGCAACGTCGACAACGGTAGACATGATGATGACAGTAGGCGCGATGGTTACGATGTTGACGACGACGACGACGGCAAGGCCGATGACGGCGCCGATGCGGATCAGGCCGACGACGACAACGGTGTCTTCGCGCGCGCGGCCGACGCGCGCGAGTGGCCCGCATGGCATCCGCCCCCTCGCCCCAACACGCGCGCAGGAGCGTTTGAATGATGTCGACATGCGGCGCGAGAGGCCTGCTTGGTCGAACGTGATGAAAACATTGGGAATCGATTGTGATATCAAGAAACTGTAAAATAGCAAGCGCAGGCCCTTCCTTATGAAAACCGGCGCGACGTGCGCGCGTGGGAGGCGCGCCTGGTATAATTCAGTGGACATCGGAAAAAAACGGAGGATATCGCAACAGCGCAAACGCAGGCTTGCTCGAACATTCCTGCTGCGAAGCCATCGGGTTTTGATCTGTTTCGGGGGCGAGCTCGGCATGCGCGCGCGACGACGCGCGCGCGCGCACAGCGCTCCCCTTGTGGCAAGGAGTGTGTGAAACAACTGTCTGGCTGCGCGCGCGTTGGGTTTTCCCACAAAGGTTGAAGGGGGGTCTAGGAGCGCCTGCCTGGCATGTATGAACTCACATCGGAGATGGACGAGCGCGCAGCATCCTAAACGGAAAGCAGCGCGAAAAGGTTACGCCTCAAGTGCGGGATGGGCGGGGATAGACCGCGAGACTCTTGCCCGAAAGGAGTATATCTGAGGTGCACTCAATGCCATGCCATCCATGTTACGTGCAATTTATGCGGCGCAAACTACGCGGTGCAATTCGCATACCGAACTTGAAGTTGCCATCCCCACTGCTCGCAACCATCCCACCCACCCACTCGCAACTTGGTCTGCAAAACGCATGCGGTGGCTGTTGCGATGAGAGTTCCGCGCGGGTTGGTGCATCTCTGCGGACGCGCTAGCCCGCGGATGCTCGCGCGCGCAACGGCCAGCTGATTTTCGCGCGACCGACGCGACTGCGGTGGCGCTGACCGCTCGGCACACCCCAGCGTGCACTTCATTGCGAGTCGGCGGCTTGGGCGGGCGAGGTATCATGGCAGCGTCGCCAACGGTATGCACGATGATGATAGTAGCGATGCTGCTGGCAATGCTGACAACGACGACTGGGCACGGCCAGCGACGGCGCCGATGCCGATCACGCCGACAACGATGATGGCGTCTTCGCGTCGGTGATGAAGGTTTTGGAAGGAATTCGAAATGCGCGCGGTAGACGCGCGGGAATGGCTCGCATGGTGTCATCTGATACGGATCGCGCCACCCCAGCACGCGCGCAAGGGCGTTCGAGCGATTCCGACAAGCGCGCGCGATGCCCGCTTGGTAGTCTTGTACGAAAAGTGTTTTATTGTTTTTAATGCCCCGTTGCGTCGCAAGAGCGCGCGCAAGCGTTTGCGGGGAACCCGCGTTGCGAACCCCTGTGGGTGTAATATGTTGTTGGGCACTCGATTTTGAAATCCTGAAATCCTTGCGAAAACGACGGTTCCCGAAGGATTTCGGCATGCGCGCGACAACGCGCGCGCGCGTGCACTTCGCTTTATGCGTTGCAAGGGATTATTGGAGACATGGGATTGTTGATAAACGACGGCGCGCGTACCATTGTTTGCGGAGGATGGCGCGGGGGGGCGATGCGCTGCTGGGCTGGGATGGTGTGAACTCATACTTCGGATGGGCGCTTGGCGCAGAACCATATGACAATTGCAATGCGAACGGGGGAATCGATAACCCCGGGGGAGGGGGGGGAGCCTTTTAAGAAAGGAGAACCTACGTGGTGCAATGAATTTCTGTTCGCAATGAGTTGTCCACTCCACTGCTCGCGCAAACATCCCACCCACCCACCCGCAACTTGGTTTGCAACATCTCTTAAGACCGTGACGGTGGGTGACACATGGCACTTGGCAACAACAGCGACGCCGACGACGACAGCGACAACGACGATCACGACGCCGCCGACAACGACTACGACGACACCGACGACGTCTCCAACGACTTCGACGACGCCGACAACGACGACGACGACGACGACGACGACACCGACGACGACGACGACGACACCGACGCCGACGACGACGACGATGACAACGACGACGACGATGACGACGCCGACAACGACGATAACGACGACACCGACGACGACGACGACGACGTCAACGACGCCGACGACGACGACGACGACGACGGCGGCGACGACGACGACGCTGTCGTCGACGACGACGAAGACGGCAACGACGCCGACGCCGACGCCGACGACGAAGACGACGACGACGTCGCCAACGAAGACAACGAGGAAAGAGGGAGGACGATGACGGCGACAACGATGACAACGACGAGGGGGAGGGAGGACGGCGACGACGCGAACGACGAAGAAGGAGGAAGGACGGCGACGCCGACGACGGCAACGACGAGGGAGGAGAAGACGACGACGACGACGACGACGACGACGACGACGGCGACGAAATAGGAGGGACGACGACGAGACGCCGACGACGGACGACGACGACGACGAGGGAGGAGGAGGAAGGACGACCACGGCGACAACGACGACGGAAACGACCACGACGCCAAAGAGGACGACGACGACGAACACGAGGAAAGACAGAGGACGACGTAGGCGACGACGACGACGACAACGACGCGGGAGGAGGGAGGACGGCGACGACGACGACGACGACGCAAGAGCGCGCGCAGACGCTTTGGTTGAAAATCCGTGTTGCGAAACCTTGATTTTGGAATGTTTTTTGGACGCACGATTTTGAAATCCTTCCGAAACCGATGGGTTTTGAAGGTTTTCGGCATACGCGCGCGACGATGCGCGCGTCTGCACTTCGTCCTATTTTTTGCAGGGGATTCTCGCGACGGCACACGCGCAAGGGCGTTCGACAGATTTCGACATGAGCGCGCGCGAAGCCCGTTTGGTAGTAGTTCGTCTAAATATTGAAACACCTATGGTTTACCTAAGATTCCGCAAGAGCTCGCGCGGAAGCTTTTTCAGCAAATCAGTGTTGCGAAACCATGTGTTTTTGTATATTTGTTTGGAAACTCCATTGCGAAATCCTTCCGGCACCGAAGGTTTTTGAAGGATTTCGGCATGCGCGCGCGACGACGCGCGCGCACTTCGTCTCATTTTTGGCGCGAAAAAGTGTTATGTTAGAACAAAACATGTCACCGCATAGTTCCCCACATCCTGAGTGGGGTTCTTGTTCCCCACATCCTGAGTGGGGTTCTTGTTTTCCC